CGTGAAAATTGTTGACCTTTATGGAGGCTTTGCATCATAGGAAAATTCAGGATCATAACATCAAAGCTTTATTAAAGATTTTAAGTTTTTGTCAAAATAGATGGAGGGCACTGTTTTTGACAAAAAGTTGGGTATATAGCCTATTCCCCCACCCCACTCCCTCTCAAATTCTCTATGGTGAGTTCCTAATCTATGAGACTTTTGTGAAGTCAAGGTATAATAAAAGTGAATTATTAAAAACATGAAATAAAAACAAAAACAAAATATAAGCTTAATTATTTTATTATTAGTTTCAATAGACACAAATAGTATCAAGTTTCTACAAAACTTTCAAAAGAGATCTCTATCTCCATACTTGACTCATTGAAGATATTAGTTAGAGCTTGAGCCCAGCATTGCTTTAAGACCTGTACTCCGTGTCGAGCTGGTTTCCTCTATCATTCCTCTCTTTGGGATTGGTTTAAGGTAGTGTATCTCAAAGCCTGAACTATTCTTTATTGGGCATAACTACCCAGTTTATTGCAGAGAGTTTAGCATCCTAGCTCCAGGACACTAAATGCCAGTGGCATCACTGTTACCAGTTACTGTCCAAAACAACATTTTCCCCACCTCCTATGCTTCTAGCCCCATACTCATTTCTAGTTGCTGGAGGAGAGAGTCAATAGCACTATAATTCAGAATCACTGGGGGGCTGAGGGTTCTGCCAGCTACTCACTAGTGTTTAGAGAAAGCACTATGGATGTAAGTCTGGGGAGGATTTGAGTCATAGCAACTGTTCAGAAAAACTAATCAGCTACAATCATGAATATGAATTGAAGGGTGGGAAAAAAAATCCTTCCCAAATTAAGTTTGTTATTTTTGTTTTCCACACATTTGCTGGAGTTTGAAGGTGGGAATAGCCGGGAGAAAGAGTTAAATGTTACCTCTGCGATGTTACAAAGAAACCACTTAGTTGTTAAGATTTATATTATTAGCTGGGTAGTGTAGCCTTGTATCAAAGTGCTGGAAACATTATTTCCATCACAGTTAGTTTCTCTTTAACTTTTCCAACTCACTCTCTTGAACTATTTTGCCTTAATGCTTTGTCCCTCATCTATTCCCACATTGTTATCCTCCCCAGAATGTTTTTTGACCCAGTTGGCATAGTACAATGCTATGGCTGGACATAAATCCAAGGGAGAGGAATAAACAGAGGCAAAAACAAGGATGTAGAGAGTTTTCTTCCCACCTTGGGCACTTAAGGATAGGAGAATATTCATAAAAGATATGTTGATCATTTCCTCCTTCCTTTGACTTACCAAGTTCCCAAGTTTATTCCCCATGTATGATGCCTCACTTATAGTATTGGCATATAAGAAATTCATTACTTGTGCCACTTCAGGAATGCCCATATTATCTGAGCACAGGAGTAGATTTTTATAGTAGCTAGAAAGCAGCAGAAATACTTCTAAATCCTTCATCTCAGGGGAACTTAATGTCCTTTATACTCCAAAGGTTTCCAGTCATCTTCCTAAAAATGAAAGAAAAGAAATTTGCAATGCCATACTTGGCAAGATAAAACACTGCTGGTCTATCAAAAGGCAAGTTCATCTCTGGCCCAGTTCAATTCTAGTCCTACTTCAAAGTTCAAGATTTAAACTTCATCCGTATCTTTTTGAGTCACCTGAATTTGTAACACAAAAAGGAATCATCTTTTTTTTCTATAAGCAGTCTGTTACTCATTTGCTTTCCTCCTCATACAGCCAGAACATACTTGAATCTCTAGACTGACAAGGCTTCTTCAGATTCTTCCAACTGGGAGTGACTTGTAGTTCAATTGAACCTGACAGGACTCAGAACTTGAAATTCTAGCATTGGAGTGGCTACAAGACTAGGTCTTGGGTTGGGGAGGAAAGGATGATAGGTAAAGATGTTTATCTCATAATGTCCATTGCTCTGACAGATTAGAATTCTTAGCGTGTTTCCTTTTCACTTCCTCTCTTTCCTCATTTTCCTTCCCAAACCCATGTTGTATAGGTTGCACTATTAGGAAGCTGTTGGATTTGTGGATTGAAAATAGTGATTCTACCTGACAGAATTACACCTATTCTATGATTGGATTTGGAGAACACTCTCCTAAGTATCACAGCAATGGAAAAACAAGCATCACATGTGTTCAATACTAAGTTGAAATGAACAGATTAACAGCTGCATGCTCACTTGAGAGAAAAATTCAGTTAAATTCAAGGTGGGGTGAAGGGAGATGTCCAGCAAGTTTCCACTCAAAGGGAACAATGCACTGGTATCAGGCACACTTTCTGGGTAAAGAAACAATGACATCTCACACTTGACCTTAGCAATATGAACAGTGGGCTCCGTGCCTGTGGCTCAAGTGGCTAAGGCGCCAGCCACATACACCTAAGGTGGCAGGTTTGAATACAGCCCCGGCCGGCCAAACAACGATGGCTGCAACCAAAAAAATAGCCGGGCATTGTAGCAGGTGCCTGTGGTCCCAGCTACTTGGGAGGTGGAGGCAGGAGACTCGCTTGAGCCCAGGAGTTGGAGGTTGCTGTGAGTTGTGATGCCACAGCACTCTACCCAGGGGGACAGCTTGAGGCTCTGTCTCAAAAAAAAAAAAAAAAAAAAAGGAAAGAAAGAAAGAAAGAAATACAAATAGTGTAGCCTAATTCTAATTATGTGTGCCCTCATATTAATCTGAAATTTAAAAAAAAGTCATTCTAAAAAATAGGTAGGAAAGAGGGGCTCGAGGGTTAGCTGCAGCTACCGCCATCCTTCTCTTTTTTAAAATTTTGGAATTCCAGTGAGAATTAGTCACATACTCCCTCTTTAAATTATTTTTGAATTTTGAAAAAACCCAGGAAGTAGGGTGAACACAGATTCAGAAACAAAATAGATAGCTACTGCTACTGGATGTTAATTACTTCTCCCAGGGGGTTATTTTAACTCTTTGTTAGGAAAGAATGTTCCAATGAAGACTTTTGACTTGTGGCTCCTTTTAATGTTACAAAAAAATAATTTTCATGTTCTCTTATTCTTATGCAGGCAAATATGGGTGGTAAGATAAGGAATATATTTTCAAGTTGCAATCCAAGTACTTGTTATTCCAGTTATTCCACTTGCTCTGGTTTCACAATTCAAGAAATATAGAGGCCATGCAGACATAAGACAACACAGGGGTCTGATCCAGGGTGTAACCAACATCAAATTACTGAATGAACTGAAAGGGATTATAAATTAAAATACACTCTTCCATTCCAGACTTCTTAGTGGCAAATCTTAATTTTACCAGAGAATGGAAGGTTTATTTTCTCCTTGCCAACTCATAAAGACAGGAGAACTACAGGAGATCATTCAGACACCTTAAAGACCAAATCGGGACCTTAACTGTTGCACAGTATCAGTCAAATTCTGAGCACCACAACTTGAGAACTGAAAATCTTGGGCAGAGTTTAGAGAGCCACAGTGAGTATTAACCATGACAAGTTGTAGAAATGGTCAGATAATTACGGGATGAATTTAACAGACAGAAATACAGAGTACTTTAGAGGAAGAGAAAAGTAAAACGCTGTAAACATAAGTGAGAAGGCTTGGCTTGGTGAACAAATGTGGTAATTAGTAAACCACAATTAAAATACGAAACATATAGCACAGCTGTTTTAGTATTTTTATTATTAACCCCCACTCCCCCCAAATTTGTAGAGTACATTTCAGGAAAACTGTACTTAAGAAAAAAACGGTCATCTCCTAGTCGTTTATACAATTATTTATTAAACACTTACGTGCTTAGACACTTCTGGTTGCTGGGATAAAACAGGGGAAAAGGTAAGATCTCTACCTTCTCGAGGGTAAAGTGTGGCAAAAACCAGCTATTACTTTTAATAATCTTTAGTTTGTATTCTATAGCCAACTTTGAAAACAGCAAATACCTAAAGCTCCTTGAGGTAGGGATCCTATTTTCACATGTACGACCGCATTCCGTGCCCAGCACAGCACCTTCTAAGCAATCCAGGGGGATAAAAAGCTAAAAATAGGCCGTAAAAGAGCTAAAATTCAAAAGTAAACACTTGTCTTGACCATGAAATATATCGGTTGAAATTCCCAATTTTTTTTCTTCAAAGCCTAATGACAAATATTTGAGAACCTATTGCGTGCAGGAACACTTTGAACACAATGCTTTGTGTATAAAAGGGATGGTGGGAATGGATTCAAATTGCACATTGTGATAGACGGCGTGAATATACTGATCAGGCGAACAGCCCTTCCCCTGTGAGTTCTTTTTCCCTTTGTTTTTTTTCTTTTTTCTTAAAGAGGAAAGAGAAAACGCTTCAGTAGAAGCTACCGCGGTGGGATGCATCGGTAAGTCTGGGGTCGCAGACATCAGCTCGCTCGTCCCGAGCTCGCTCGGGCAGCTCGGTGAACAGCTCCCGGGGCTTCCACCGACTTGGCGCTCGGAGCCTCGGGGCGGACGAAGCGACCCCCCCAAGCGGAAGGACTGGGCGCCGCACGCATCCCTCCGAGAAGTAACCGGCCGCTCGCCCCACCTCGGGGTCCTGCTCCTTTGGGGCTTGCTCTGACTATTCAGGCAGACGCTCCAGAGCTGCCAGGGAGGTGCGATTTGGAACTCGGCGCGCCGGGTCTCAGACCGCGTCTACTCGCCCAGCCACAGCTCGGGGACTTTGAGGCGCCCGCGCCCCTTTGTCGCGGGATCTCTCGCCCAAGCAGGCCGGACGCCCAGGCCTCGCGGTATCGAGCCTCTGTCCGCCCCGCCTCCTCGTCCTCCAGTT